CCAAACGCCCGAAAATGGTACACTGACGGGGATGGGAGGCGCGTCCCCTACAGTGGGGTTGAGGTGGCGCAGGTCCCGGGTGCTCCCCAAGCCTGACCAACCCCTCGTCTGGGCAGGCGACGGGTCACGGCCCCCAAGCACCTCGACTGGCTGCATATCGATGTCCCCCATGAGCACCACGCGGGACTCCGCAGCTAGCGGTGGAGGGCCAAACAAAATCCGCAGGTCAGCATGTAGGCCTGACACCTGGGAGAACCACTCCGCATCCAAACCCATGCGGGGGACTGGGGGGAGATAGACGGTACACACGTACCATGGAGTGCCGCGATCGTCTTCCAAGCGGAGCCACAGCCTCCTGTCGGAGCCGACCTGCTGGACGACGCGGGCGCTGGGAATCTGGCGCCTGTCCCATAGGACGGCCACGCTGGCGTACGATGGACCTCCCCGTGCAGCAACGCCTAAGTGCGGCCTCCCAGGAATCTCGAACCCCTCGGCCAGGCGCGCCCCTGGGAGCCCTAGCAGCCCAATGTCCAGGACTCGCATGGCGCGCAGGATGCCGACCCGCGCGCCCTCCCCATTCGTGGCAAGCAGCTGCTGCTGAGGCCAGGCGACACTCATCACTCCCCTGGGCGTGGACGCTCCCGCTGCATAGACGCCATCCTGGGATCCGCGCCGGCGCTTGGGACGGCGAGGGTGCACAACGGAATCTCTTGCCGAGGAGATGGAGAAGAGGGCTGTCAGTGGGCGGAGTGCGTCGAGTACACTCGGGGGGGGCATCTTCTGCTCGACATCACCATTCCGTTCTTGGCTCCGTCGGAAGGCACGGGGCAAGGTGCGCCCCAGATGCCTCAGCGGTGGCACGACGCGGAGTCCTGGAGGGCGGGGCTCAGGCACGCGCAGCCTCCCCTGCGGGCGTTCTCCGCCCTCGTCCGCCAGTGTTGCGAGGGAGAAGAGCAGTGCGCCCTCGCTCGCGCACTGAATTCCACTGCGGCGCAGTGGCTGGCAGACGCCGTGTCTTGGCTCCTTCATGTCATCCTGGGGCTGATCCTGGCCGGCTGGGTGGCCCCACGGTCAGCGTCGACCCCCCGGGCCCCTCGCAAGGAACTGCGGCCCCTACGAGGTCGTGTTCGCGCAGCCCTGGAAGGCCCAGGCACAGCCTCTGAACGGGCAGCCAAGTGCCTGCGGCTGCTGCGGCCTCGGGAACAGCGGCCAGCATCCTGCCTCGGAGGACGCGCCGTTCCGCTGCACAAGTTGGGCCCTGCCGATGTCGGTGAGTCCTTCCGCCTCATCATGGTCAAGTCCCAGCTCGGCCTGCTCCAAGAGTCCGTTGTGCACTGCAGGCTGCGCGACTCGGTCCGCGCCTCTATCCCCCCTGGCCAAAGCGGCTACGTCCGCGACGTGGGAGACGCCCACCTCGCACTCCACGAGGTTGCGGCGGAAGCGGCAGGCAGCGATCGGCCCTTGCGGGTGGTCTTCGGGGACCTGCAGAAGGCCTTCCCCGGACCTGGAGGGGGGGGCCACTGCTAAGGCTGCACCAGGAAGCCAGGGTCGGGCCAGGCATGTTCTCCCTCCTTGACAGCACGCTCGCCTCGGACACCGTGCATCTGAACTTCAACGGCGTAAAGACGGTCCTCATCACGGAGGGCATTGCGGAAGGGGGCTCCCTGGGGCCGCTCGCCTTCCCCGTGTACATGGATTCCCTGGCAGAGGCCTTACACCAGGGGGGACGCGGCGCGGGCCTCGGAGCCCGCATTCCGGGGTGCTGGTCGAGGCATGCATGGGCGGGCACGGGCACTTCAGACGCCGAGGTCACAGCAGCCCTCCTCGGCGCCTTGCGCCAGGGAGACTCCCTTCCCTCCTCGGCAGACCTATCGGCGGGCGCCCGTCTAGAGGCGTCGGCTCTGGCAGCCCTGGACATGGCCGCCCCCCGCCGCCTTGCCGCCATTCTCCACGCAGACGACCCGGTCCTGCTCGGTTCGACCCGTGGCGCTGCCCACCACTCCCTCCGGGTGTACGCGGACTGGGCACACGCCTGGAAAGCCTCTCCCCACACGAAAGCCACCAAACACGCCGTGGTGGTGCATGGTGGGCCGCAGGCCAGGGAGGCGGGGAGCCGTTCACAGCCGTTGTCCCTTCCGCTGCGGAGCACCGCGGGGTACCCGGTTGGCTGCGCCGCGAGCCACGTGTGGCTCGGGCTGGACTGGCCAGGGGACCTACAGCTTGGCCGCGTCCTGGACGCCAAGCTCGGCGTGGCTCCCGCGCAATGCGCAGCCCTCGCTGGGCATGTTGCTGCGGGGGTCCTCCCCGTTGCCGCCGCCGTGCAGGTCTTTGAGCTGCAGGTAGGTTCCCTGCGTTTCGGGCGGTGGCTCTGGGCCACGGCGGCTGGGGCCCTGGACCGGGTGGACTCTGCCTACGAGAGCCGGGCGCGCGGCTTTCTCGGCTCCCCCCCTGGCGGTGCGGGGCGCAGGCGAGCTCTGAGTTGGGCTGGTCACTCTCGGGCTCGGCTCGGGCGGTGCAGGACGTCGCCTCGCGTCGCGCAGGCCTGTGGCTCCTACCCGAGGGGCACCTCTACCACGGCATCTTTGTGCGGGCCCATTCTGTTCCAGGCCCGACGTGGGTTCGGGCGTCCCTCGCTCTACTTGACGCATGGTCCCTCCCAGATTGGCCAGCGTTCCGCGCCGCCCACGGGACGGGCACCCTGCAGCAGCACAAGGAAGCAATCCGCAACGCCCTGGCGGACAGGAGTACTGCGTTGCTCCGAGGCCGCCTGCCACCACCAGGGCGCGCGCTGCCCCCCCAGTCGCTGGGGCCTGTACCGAGGCCCGACCTGTCCCGAGCCCTGGCCCTCGCAGTTCCGGAGGATGTGCTGGAAGGCCAGCGGTCCCTCAGTCGTCTACGGTGCCGGCTCCTGGTCCTGTGCCACTCCTCAAGGGCCCGCTCCCGGGCCAGGCGGCAGGTGTGCATCTGCTGCCAAGGCCAAGGGCTGAGCCCACTCTTCCACGTCCTCGGCAGCTGCAGCCGGACCCAGGACGGCCGGGACGCTTTCTGGGCTTCGCGCGGTCTCCCTGCGCCAGCCTCCCGCGAAGCCGCGGCCCAGGCCATCCTCAGCGTCCTCCCAGGCGAGCCGGGCTACCCGCAGGCGGTGTCCCTGGCGCGGCGGCTCGAGGAGGCGGCGGCAGCCTTCTGGGGGGCCAGCGAGCGCGGGTGAGAGAAAATATGCTCCCAGACCTCCCTCTTGGTCCCCCCTCCCGCACTCCCTGCCTCCAGCAATTGTGCTGCGATGCGTGGGTTGGGCCGGGTTTGGGCGTGGGCTCAGGTTGGGACGCCTCTTCTCCTGGGGAGGATCCCTCTTCCCCTCCATTGCCGGAGTCTCGTACTTGCGTCCCCTCGCCGTGCGCTGACTAGTGCAGCGGCTGGGGAGTCGGGCAGAGCCCCAAGCGCTTGGGCATCCGTTCCACGGACCGGCGGCCCCGCTTGGTACTCCCCCCCTCCAGGCGGTCAGGCAGGTCGCCCATCTAGCCGCTTCCGCACGGCCCTCCCTCCCTCCCTCCCTCCCTCTCGGTCCCAGTCGTCGTCGTCGTCGTCGTCGTCGTCGTCGTCGTCGTCGTCGTCGTCGTCGTCGTCGTCGTCGTCGTCGTCGTCGTCGTCGTCGTCGTCGTCGTCGTCGTCGACGTCGTCGTCGTCGTCGTCGTTGTCGTCGTCGTCGTCGACCAGACTGGGCCGGGCTGGGGTGGGGTGTGCTGGGCTGGTCCACGACGATGGTCGCAGCAGAGGGCCCCCGCCGGGTCGGTGCAGGGCCGCTTGCGTTTGCCCTCCCGGGCTCTCGCGGCCACCTGCTAAAAGGAACCCACGCCCGGGGGTTCCGAATGCCGCCCCGCCGGGGGGACACCAACCAACCAACCAACCCCCTTCCCCCCCATCCCCTTCCTCACCTCCCCCACCCTCCTCCTCCTCCTCCTCCTCCTCCTCCTCCTCATCCTCCTCCTCCGCCTCCTCCCCTCCTCTCTCCTCTCCTCCTCCTCCTCCTCTTTCTCCTCCTCCTCTTCCTCCTCGTCCTGCTCCTCCTCCTCCTCCTCCTCCTCCTCCTCCTCCTCATCATCATCTCATCATCATCATCATCATCATCATCATCACATCATCATCATCATCATCATCATCATCATCATCATCCAAATCCTCCTCCTCCTCCTCCTCCTCCTCCCTCCTCCTCCTCCTCCTCCTCCTCCTCCTCCTCCTCCTCCTCCATTCGTTATCCTTATCAATACTCCTCCCTCTCGCACCCCGAAACCAGTTGTTTGGGGCGTCCGGGCGCCTCGCCTGCGACTTCCTCGCCACGTATGACCCTGAAGCCAAAAAAAGACAACAGTTTTACACATGGAGGGCAGGTGGTTTTCAAAATGTGGTTCTCGCGTTAACGCCGCGCACATTCGTTTTGAAAATTTGCTAGAGCTTCACGGATTGAGGGCGGGTCGTTTTCGAAATGTGGCTCTCGCCTCCGCGCTGCGCACATTCGTTTTCAAACATTGCAAACGTTTCACGCGTTGAGGGCGGCTCCTTTTCAAAATGTGGCTCTCGCTTTAGCGCCGCGCACATTAGTTTTAGAAATTTGCAAATGTTTCACGAATTCCCATGATCAGCGTATCAGACATGGTCTTGGAAGGATTCAGGAATACAAGGGCGCAACAGCTACGAAGATTCGAGGCATTGAAGTTTCAAGAATGGTGTTCTGGAGCGTTTCAGGATCGTCAAGACGCAACAGTCAAGTTAATCCGTGGCGATGGATACCCGAGAACGCTGTTTTGGCATGCGTCAGGGTCTTCAATCGGTTGTCTTCCGACGAAGCACTTCCCCCCGTGGAAATGAACCTGTGTAGGGGCCTATGAAAATGGCGCTTGGAAGGAGGGTTGATTCCAACATCGTTGATGACTCTTGGGTTTACACTGGTCCTCCTCCTCCTCCTTCTCCTCCTCGTCCTCGGGCAGCTCGACGCGGGAGGCCGCCGGAGCTTGTTGCTGTAGACCTGGTTCCGCACCCAACGCACGATGGAATCCACGGGGTCCGCGCCCATGTGTAAGCCTCGGTGCCGGCGCGCCGTTCTGAGCGCGACGCGCGGTCGGAGCCTCAGCAGGGGGGCGCCGAATGTACAATCAAAACGTGGTCACAAGAACGTGGACACAAGAGCGTGGGCTCTTCGCCAAAGGATATACATTTATATATATATATATATATATATATATATATATATATATATATATATATATATATATATATATATAATACATACATACATACATACATACGTACATACATACATACATACATACATACATACATACATACATGCATGCATGCATGCATGCATACATACGTACATACATACATACATACAGACGGCCAGAAAGACATACAGACATACAGGCATACAGACATACAGACATACAGACATACAGACATACAGACATACAGACATACAGACAGACAGACAGACATGCATGCTTACATGCATTCATACATACATACATGCCGACCTACCTACCTACACACATACATACACGTATACATACATACGCACTGATTTACACAAAAAATGATACCTGAGAAGAGAAGCAAGCACATATATCTATATAGATATATAGATATATATATATATATATATATATATGTATCCAAAAAATCATCCCCCCCACCACCACCACCACCACCCCTCCTCATCCGCCTCCTACCCACACCCTGCTCGTTTTCATCTTCGTCGCCTTTAGGGTCGGCGGCACCGGCCGCAAGGCGTCCACAATACATGAACGAAGAAACAAATTACTCCGACGGAAAGGCCCCGTATGAAAATCCATTCGGCTAATCTGGAAATAACCTTCACTGTCGTCCTCGCGATTAGTGAGGCGCCCTTACTGTCTGCTCTACGTCATACTCATTCTCGCCCTGGCGCAGGGCCCTCACCCGCTCCCCGCGTTGCCCTTGCCTCGCCCTCCTGCTGTTTGTTTCCTCACCCACCACCTCCTCTCCTGTCTATTGCAAGAGCGCGCGCGTCGATTTTCCTCGGCGCCGTCGCCACTTCGGCCAACGCGGGCGCATTCTCCAATGGCCGCGTCGCGCGGCCGTTGGGGCAAGCCCGCGGGCCAGGCCGTTGGGGCAACCGCGCGAGCAGCTGGGGCGCGGGAGCAAGCCCTTGGGACAACCCCGCAGGCACCGAGCTAGTCACGGCCGCGCTCAGGCGGTTACACACCCCGGCCCGGACGCAAGGGTTTCCCCCTGCGCCCGGCCGCCGTCGTCGTCTTCACCTCCTGTTCCTCCTCTTCCTCCTCAAGTGATGGTTCGGGCGAATCGCCCTCTGAAGAATGCATAGGGAGGGGGCTCCCGCCTGAAACTTCCTCACAAGTCACTCACAGACGAAGCTCCCCGCCAAATACTTCCACCATATTCAGGCCTCGGGAGCCCCAAAGTGACGACAGCTACAAGGGTGAGAATGACCCGCTCGGATAAAAAACATGAAGTGCGGGCCCAATAGGGAGGGCGCTCCCGCCTGAGACCTCCTCAGAAACAGAATCTGCTGGCCCCATAAGGAGGGGGCTCCCGCCTGAAACTTCCTCACAAGTCACTCACAGACCAGACTCCCGCCTGATATTTCCTCCATACTCAAGCCTGAGGAACTCAACAATGACAACAGTTACATGGATGAGGATGACCCGCTCGGATCACCAACGTGAAATGCGGGCCCCATAAGGAGGGGGCTCCCGCCGGAGACTTCCTCACAATTCACTCACAGACGAGGCTCCACCATGATACTTCTTCCATATTCAAACCTGAAGAGCCCAGAAATGACGACAATTACAAATTTCCGATGACCCGCTCGGATTACCAACATGAAACGCGGGCCCCATAGGGAGGGGGCTCCCGCCTGAGACTTCCTCACAAGTCACTCACAGACGAGGCTCCCACCTGATACTTCCTCCATATTCAGGCCTGAGGAGCTCAAAAGTTACTACAGTTGCATGGATGAGGATGACCCGCTCGGATTCCCAACATGAAATGCGCGGGCCCCGTCCACAATTCACTCACAGACGAGGCTCCCACCTGATACTTCCTCTACACTCAGGCCTGAAAGCCCCAAAGTGACGACGGTTACAAAGATGAGGATGACCCGCTAAGATTGCCAACATGATTTGCGGACCCCATAGGGAGGGGGCTCCCGCCGGAGACTTCCTCACAATTCAGTCAAAGACGAAGCTCCCGCCTGATACTTCCTCCATATTCAAACCTGAGGAGCCAAAAAATGACGACAGCTACAAATTTACGATGACCCGCTCAGATTACCAACATGAAGTGCGGGCCCCATTAAGGAGGGGGCTCCCGCCCGAGACTTCCTCACAATTCACTCACAGACGAGGCTCATGATTGTGATGATTGTGATGATTGATGATGATGATGATGATGATGATGATGATGATGATGATGATGATGATGATGAGGAGGAGGAGGAGGAGGAGGAGGAGGTGGTGGTGTGTTCCTGCGCGGGGTGTCCAGAAAAAATGATACTGAATGATGAGAGAGTGTGTGCGATGTGCGACTGAATATGATGATGATGATCGCGGTGGTGGTGATGCTGATGATGATGATGCTGATGATGATGATGATGATGATGATGATGATGATGATCGATGGCCGATGGTGATGGTGATCGATGGCGAGTGACTGAGTATGATGATGATGGTGATGATGATGACCGGTGGTGACGATGACCGATGACGGGGTGAATGCGTGAGCGAGGCGGAGGAGTGGGAGGGAGGTGTTCCTGCGCGGAGGGTGTCCAGAGAAAACAGGAACCCCACTGTGGATGTGGGGAACAATTCAAGCAAGAAACAATGAACTAGATATACAGAGTGAACAGATATAGAAATATATATATATATATACATACGTAAATAAATGACTGAACACTTAAATCAAACATTAATACATGAATGACTTTCTTAACAGAATCAACACAAAACGCCACGCACATTCGTCTGAAGAGCTTGCACCAGCCAGGCGAGAGCATAGGGGCGGAAATGCGGGCAGTGATCAGCCAGTGTGACCGAAGGCCCGGGGCCCCGTGCCCACGGCGAAAAGTAGTCCGAGGCGGAGGGCCCAGGCAGAAAGGGCACGGGGTGCTCCCAGAGCCAGGGCTGGTCTTGAGGCACACGAGTTCGGCCTGAAAAGGGCCCCTGCAAGACTGGGCGAGTGCGCCGCCAGCGCGTGTGCCAGCGCGCTCGTGAGTTTTTGTTCTGCGCATTTCGCGCCCACGCAGGGGCGCGCGCGCGCGGCCGCCGTCTTTCACAGCCCGCCCTGAACGGCGCAGGTTGAAGTCACGATGCTGGTTGCAAGCCTCAGCCCGAGGTCGCCGCTGCGAAGGCGACAAGGCGACATCGCATGATTTTCCTCCTCGCCCTCCTCGCCGTTATTCAGATCCTCCTTGTGGTGGTACTTTTCCTTGCCAACGCTACTTACGCCCCTGACGCATTCACACTAGAGTTCCTCATCCTTCTCCTCTTATTCATCGCCGTCCTTCTGCCGCCACCATTCCACTTCCTACCATTCGGCGTCGACTCGTTCAAGTCTCAATAGGCACCCCACAAACACTAGGAGCTCGACAAAAAAAAAAACTGGCCACTGGAAACCCAGCCCTGAGACCTTAGGACGTCCCTTGACTTGTGTTGCGGGAACGTCACGCTCCCCACAGCAGAACCAGCGAAGCCCAAGAAACCCAGGGCACCCTGGAGGCAAGCAGGGCGCTTCTCGGCACGGGTCTCTACGGCAGCTTCCACGAAAGATCGGGCTGCGTCATTCTGAACTTCTGTGTGCTTGAACTATATCTTGAATTGTCTTCCACTCGCGCATTTACCTGCAAGTTTCAGCGACGGATGTCTCGGCTCGAACAACGCTGAAGGGCGCAGCGAAGTGTGAGAAGCATTGTGAGTTGCAGAATTTTGTGAACCACCTAGGGACTTGAACCTAGTGTGCGCCTCCGGGAAATCACTGAAATGTGATGCCCGCTCCAGCGTCTATTCTGTATCGTTCCAGCTCCTGGCTTGTCCATGACGCTCGTGTGCTTCTGTCCTCTCGTGCGCTCCTGCGTCTGGGATGGGCCCCCTCGACGCTGCCGCCTGCTGCAGAAGGGGATCCGCACCTGCCCCCCCCGAAGCCCTGGAACTCTGGGCCGCCCGTCCCTGGGACCCCCCCTCTTGCCGCGGGCGCCTGCTTCAGCTCGGGCATGTCCTCCGACAGGCAGATCTTGGAAGAAAAATAAAACATGGTCCATAAAATATCAACATCTGCTGTTAACATGTATACACATATATACACACCAAAACAAACAAAAACAAAAAACAAAAAACAAAAAAACTCAACGAATCATCTCTCTATGATTCTTCCACGTTCCTCCTGTAGAGGGACACACGCCCGACTTGACACCCGCTTGACGGCCCCTGGGCCCGACCGAGACGCCCGGACGCCCACACTGCGCCCAGCGACGCCAGAGCCGAAAACATCACGACGCCCGAGATCTTCGGGAGCCTCCGGCGGTCCCCCGCAGGCCTCCAGAAGGCCACGGGGAGCGCCCAGAGGGCACAGGGCGCCTCCGGAGGCACCTCTCTGGAGGTGCCAAGACAAAAGCATCCAGAGCCCCATCCTGGATCCCCGATCCTCGATCCCCCTCGATCCTCGTCCCCCTCGATCCTGGATCCTCCTCGATCCTCGATCCTCCTCGATCCTCGATCCTGGTCCTCTTCGATCCTACCCCCCCGATCCTGGTCCTCCTCGATCCCCGACCCTTCTCCCCCTGCCCCCCGGCGGGCCAAGCTGCGCGTACAGCTTGTGCTTCTGCAGGAGTGGCGTCGTCGCGTCCGTGCCTGCGAGCCGGATGGGCCACGCTGCCGAAGCGCCGTCTCAGGCCGCCCGCCGTCACCCTTGGGCCTCTGGGGGCCTCTCGGGGGCCTCTCGGGGGGCACGGAGACCTCTGGAGACCTCTGGAGACCGTCGGTCACCGTCGTCGTCGCCGTCATCGTCGTCGCCGTCGTCGCCGTCATCGCCGGGATCATCATCGGGGTCATCATCGTCGTCCCTGGGTCGTCGGGGTCATCATCGTCGTCGCCGCCATCGTCGTCGTCGTCGTCGATGTCGATGTCGCCGTCGCCGCCGCCGCCGTCGTCGTCGCCGTCGCCGTCGCAGTCGTCTGAAGGAGCGCCCTCGGAAGCACCGAGCTCTCTCGCACCTCTATAGCGGACAGGGGTACAGTACTCGGGGGCAGGGGGGAAAAGAGGAAGGGAATGTTCGAGGAGAAGTGGGAGGAAGACGAAGAGGAATAGCAGAGAGGAAGACGGGGAAGCAGCGGAGGAAGAGGTGATAGAGGAGGGTAAGGAAGATCGCGATGGGGAAGAGGAAGACGAGTAAACGCAGGAAGGAGAGGAATAACAAGAAGAAGAGGAAGAGGAGGAAGAGGAAGACAAGGAGGACGATGATCCGCCACTTCTGTCCTTTTCGGCAACGTCACCGCCATCCCTTTCCTGGTCAGCATGCTTCTCCTGTCTCGGCACGTGCTCCCTCACACGAGTTCACCGTCACATCATCAGCAATATCCCTGCTGGTCCTCGCCATATGCTACCCCCTGCTGCTGCTGCTGCTGCTGCTGCATGCAATAGGGACCCAGAGTGCGAAGCGGCCACGGAAGGTCCTAGCAGCATGGCCAGCTCAGGCAGCGTCTGGTCGAACCACCACTTCCAGGGCCACTGCCCGAAGCCAACTGGCCCTTTGCCCTTGCCCTGCGGAGATCTCTCGCTCGGGGGCAGCGGGCGTGCAGGCGGGGCAGGCAGGCAGGCCCGGCGGGGGAACGATGAGACGACAACGGTATGAGAATCCGCCGGACCCCCGCTTGCCGGGGGTGGAGCGGCGTGCGAGGTGATTGAGTGTCCCCCTGCCCCTGTTCCCCCATCCCCCGGGGTCCAAAATGCCGTTTGAGAGGGGAGGGGATGGGGGCAGGGGGGGGAGGGGGCGAGATCCGAAACGCATCCCCTGGGCCCCTGGAGCCTCTCCAGAGCCCGAAGACGCAGACGCCTCAAGATGGCCCAAGAGAGCCCACACAAAACGCTACGACAGTCCAAGAAAGCGTCGAAGTGGCCCAGGGTAGCCCCACGGTAATCCATACAGGCTTCGAGACGGCCCACGACGCGCCAAAGACAGCCAAAGAGTGCTCCCACAGGACCGCTGGGAAGGCCGCAAGAAGCGAAAATCGTCGCATTTCCTTCGGAAAACGCTGATTTTCAACATACTCGCATTTTGCGTCTTGAGAGAGTCCGAGACGGTCCAAGGGGGCTCCCAAGATCGCCCCAAGTTCGCGCAAGAATGCCCAAGAGGGCCCCAAGACGGCCCCAGGAGGCCACAAGACGGCCCAAGAGATCCCCAAGAGAGGCCCAAGCCAGGGGCTCCCACGCCGACCCAGGAGAGCCCCAAAAGAAGCCCAAGAGACTGACTCCGAACTGAAACGTCGAACCTTCCCCCCAAGATGGCCCCAAGAGCCCCCCTGAGGCCTCTCTCCAGCCGCCCCACGAGGCCTCAAGAGCCCTGCAAGAGGCCCCCCAGAGAAGAGGCACCAAAAGGCCCTCAGATGCATCGACTAACTCTCCAAGAGGCTGCTGAAAGGCATCCCAAGAGACTCCAACATACCTCCAAGATCTTCCCACCCTGTCTGTGCTCTCTTTTGAAGGGGTCGGCAGTGTGGCGCAAGCCTCTTGAGTAAAGTCGGGCTGGCACAAATCAGGAACCTCTGAGACCTCGCGGGTCCCGAGGACGTATCGGCCGTCGCGTCCTATCCAAAGAATTCTGGAGCGCTCGGAGAGCGTCTCAGACCGCTCGAGAGCGATGTATCCTCCTCCTCCTCCTCCTCCTCCTCCTCCTCCTCCTCCTCCTCCTCCTCCTCCTCCTCCTCCTCCTTCCTCCTTCCTCCTCCTCCTCCTCCTCCTCCTCCCTCCTCCTCCTCCTCCTCCTCCTCCTCCTCCTCCTCCCCCTCCTCCTCTACCTCCTTTTCCCCCTCCACCTCCTCCTCCTCCTCCCCTCCTCCTCACACTCCTCTTCGCCCTCCTCCTCCTCTACCTCCTCCTCCCCCTCCACATCCTCCTCTTCCCCCTCCTCCTCACCCTCCTCCTCCTCCCCCTCCTACTCCTCCTCCCCCTCCTCCTCAAGGGGGCCGGAGGGGGTGGGAGAGGTGGCTCAGGAAGCAACTCCTGGGAGGTCTTCGTGGGAACGGTCAAGGACGACTGCGCCCGATTCAGTGGCCACCAAGCTGGAAGCTCGATGACTTCGCCTTCATTACTGAAGAACTGTCGAGCCACCTCTGAGCCTCTTGACGGACGCATGGTGGAGATGCGTTTTGGTGCTCTCGCCCGATGGACGATAGCAATGAGAATACGAATGTCTGAGACCCTCTGTCACCACCAGGCCGCCGCAGTCACACAGTACACACACTGCAATGGAAAGTGAAGGAGAGATGGTAAGGTAGATACTTGGAGAGTATAGGGAGAAAATATAGGGCTTGGGTCTTAAGCCAAAATGATACGACCCCTCCCCATGGACAGCACACCCTTCATGAAACCCTTAAGCTAAGGGAGTCTCGCATACAAATAGGACGTCTTGTCCAAACTATTCGCCTCGAGACTCAGTGCCCCGAAAAAAACAGTGAGCTTAAGAGGGTGCTGTGCAACGGAAGTGCATATATATATATATATATATATATATATATACATATATACATATATACATATAAACGCCCCTCAAAGAAAGAGGTGACGGGAGGGATCGGACCGGGCTCTTTGAAACCTCGCCGTCCGTTTGCTGCTGCTGCTGCTGCTGCCGTCGCGAGCAAATACTCGGCCACACTGTGCACGGTCAAAGACGCCGCGCACTCAAAACTGCCGGGCACTTGTCTCGCCAGTCGTAGAAACCTACTCGGCTTTGAGACGGCCTGTGGCTGGCTGGTCGGCCCCACCCTCCTGCTGCTGAAGTTGCCTCTGAGACTCGGCTCTGGAACGTCCTTCCTTGCGGCGATCTTCCTGACGACCCTCCAGAGCCCCCCCTTCCGAGGAAAGCCCAAGACACCCAGACCGAAGCAGCTCGAACTGAGCCGCGTTCGTCTTAGACATGTCAGACTTAGTCATACAATCGAACAGAAGAAGAGGGTGAGGCTCCCATCGGATCACGCTACCGACTTTGGACATTATATCTCGAAAGACGGCCAAATCGATCGCAGCTCTCCGATCCGAACGGGAGCCGTTGGACAAATTACGGAGGGAGGCAATGATGGCCCAGGCCACCAAAGTATCGCATGGCCTACGCACACCCCCTCGACTAAGCCTACCGGTGGAGGGAGGTTGACAGAGATGCCATAGGCGACTGCATTTAGCATCTCGTCAACGCATGTCGTCAACGTTTTCAGCAAGCAGGCCCAAGGATCAGGTCCCGTGAATATTCGATGTGCCGAATTGTTCAGGCAGCCCGTTAGGCAGCAGCTTAATCATCACAACTCATGAACTGCGCACACGAGTCGCACACAGCAGTTGGACGGTCGTTCGCCTTGTCAGGGCTGCGCGTGCTGCCTCGAAAGATCCACATGTATGAATAGCTTCGCCAAGTGGCACGACGCATTGCATGCACATCCTCGGTATTCATGTCGTGCTGCATATGCTCGTTCGCTCGCTGCGCTGCACTGCGCGTACACACAGCACAAGAAGTGGGAAGACACGAATACGGGGCCAGGAGGGAGGGAAGGGGGAGAGATAGACAGGGACAGAGACAGGGACAAAGAGAGACAGAGAGATAGAGACACAGAGAAAGAATGAGAGAGGGGAAACAACAACAACAACAACAACAACAACAACAACAACAAAAAACTGGCGAATAACCCAACCCACATTTGAACGTGGAAACGACCCACAAGACCGCTCAATGCACAAGAACTCGTGAGGGGCTCCGTAGTGCCCCTGACAGTTTCGCCAGAAAACGTCGGCCCACGCGGCTCACACTTCACGCGGGAAGTGAACCACGCGCGTGCGTAGAGCACGAGTGCAAGGGAAAAGATGGGAATATAGGTCGTTCCCTTCGGGTTTCGAGGGGCGTGTCCCGAACTGCGGCGGCAATTTGGTGGGGGTCTCGATGGGGATGGGGATGGGAATGGGGACTGGCTGCACGATGCCGAGCATGGGCAAAGGAAACGGGAGAAAGCATCACATGCAGAGGCTGCCGACAGCTCCAGCGCACAGGCGGCGCGCGGAAAAAGCCCAGACCGAGAGGCGGCGCGACTGCGCCCCGAGAGCTCGCGAGAAGCCCCTGGCCGGCTCGGGCCCGGGCCGCGCGGGGAGCTCCTCTCCCCTCCAAGGGGGGGGCCACGAGGAGGAGCGCGCGGGGGGGTCTGCCGCAGTGGGGCGGGCACCCGCGCGAGCCCCGCCACCGGGGCCCGCGGGGGGGCTCCCCATGTGGGGGCCAGGAGGCGTGCGAGGGGTCTGCCAGCATGGGGCGGGCACTCCAGATCTCGTCATAAAGGGGAGGGCGTCTGGGCCCTCCAAGACAAGCCATTTCAGACCCCCCCCCCGTGGGAGAACCCTCCAGAACATCGTCCCCAGACCCCCCCAGGGCCCTCCAGGGTAGCCTGGAAGAGACCCCCCCCCCCCGAAATGAGACCCCCCTCCCTTTATTACGAAATCTGGAGTACCCACGTGGAGCTCTCCACATCGGGCCACGAAGCGTGCGAGGGGTCTGCCGCAATGGGGCAGGAGCCCACGCGAACCCTGCCTGCCACTGGGGCCCTCGGTGGAGCTCCCCACACGGGGGCCACGAAACGTGTGAGGGGTCTGCCAAAAAATGGGGCAGGTACACACGTGAACCCTGCCTGCCACTGGGGCCCTCAGTGGGGCTCCTCTTGGGGCCACGAAACGTGTGAAGGGTCTGCCAACATGGGGCGGGTACCCACGTGAACCCTGCCACTGGGGCCCCTCGGTGGAGCCTCCTTATGGGGACACGAAACGTGTGAGGGGTTTGCCGGAAAGCAAAAGGAAAGAGGAGAATGAGGCCTCCTGCACTGCTAGGGCCTCCTGCACTGCTAGGAGATGAGGGTGATAATTGATATCAAGATGATGATGCTGACGAGGAGGAGGAGGAGGAGGAGGAGGAGGAGAAGGAGAAGCGCGGCACTGCGAATTCAAAACGAGGACCCAACTCCAGAGGAGAGTTGGAAAACAAAAAAAGAGATGCGGGATACCTAAATCAGGGATACCGAATTTTCGGCCTAGTCGGTGGCGGATGCTTCTGGGCAGCACGGCGGCTATGTAGCAACATTGTAGCAGCCTTAGAGGCTGGAGGCTGACGCGGCGAGGCGGATACTGGCAGTTCTGGCCACGGCATGCACTGTCTTAACCCGCTCGCCGATTCGGAATTATTGGCTGCGTGCTTCCCGTGTACACTCCGACGCTCATTGTCGGGGCTTGCGTTCCTTGTTCCAGGAAAATTCAAGGACGCGGCAATGGCCGCTCGAAAATCGGGGCCACCCTTGCCACTGGAATCTGCAGGAACGATAGCACGAACAATTCGCTCGACCTTGTCGGCTGAGTCTACGAAGCCATCGCCAGCGTTTTTCGAGTGCACCACCTCGAAAGAGCTACCATCCGTCCGTCTCACCTTGAGGTCGAAGTTCCCGGTGGTGGAGAATTCTCGAATCAGACCGACGTCGACCTCGCAAACCCGTCGAATGTGTCCAGCGAGCTCCATGGCGCGTCGCTC